ACTCCTCGGAAGGAAGGTTGGGCAATCCTACTTCCGTAGTGATACTGCCTCGGAAACCCAAGGAGGGGTCGCTATGAGTCGGGGCCGACTCGACGGCACATAACAACAACAACAACAACAACAGTTACCTTGGGTGGTATCTTCTTTTATAGGAAGAAGTTTCTGTGATCTGTTGCATGCCAAAGCAAATTTCTGATAGTCCCTTGAAGCACTTGGGGAGGAATCTGCACTGCTAGCAATTCAAAGTCACTGTTGCTTCACATATGCTGTATTTAGTCATCAAATATTATGAAATAGAAAGAGAACAAGTTTCTGTGTTGGGAAGGGAGGCTTGCTCTGTAACCAATCAATCCCACAGCAGGAGGCACACAGGCAGATAAATATAGAATGCAGTTATTACAGGACAACTGGAAAATCTATCTTCTCTGCTGCTTTCACAAATTCACTTAACATTTTAAAACTTTTACTTAAGGTTCACTTTAAGCATAAAATACAAAAAGCTCATAAAAGCATATATGAGCATTGCTATAAACCATATTTTCCCCAATTATTGGTCAACTTTGGAGAAAATAAAATTACTTGGTTTAACAAAATAATTTCCATTTTGCACACTGCTTTATAGAGACAAAAGTATCTGAGGAAGCTGGACTGTGAGCTAAGTTTTGGTTACATGAAAACTAATAATAATTTAAGAAAAGTACAACAATTTTGATATTTTAAAATTTCACATACCTCAATCCATGTCTTGGAAAACTTGAAAAACTTGGGACTATCTTGACTTGAATATACTGAATCCTAAACTGGAGGCCATATAGACAAAGTCCTTTCAAGAAATCAAATAGCTTCCAGGCACTTAATATTACTTTTCTGTTTAACAAATCTCACTTTCCTTTTACTTATCTAATGAACCCTTCCTCTTCTAGAAAATGCCATCCACCTTCCCTATAGACTACCCTTCTTAGAATTTAAGATGGAGAAAAATCCTTTTTTTTTTTTTTTTTTGAAGAAATCAAAGTGTTCTGATTCTAGTTGTTTTCTTTTACCAGATAAGCAGCCATGTAAATAAGTGGTGACTTCATACATTTGTAAATTGCTAGGACACTCCTAGGAAGAGTTTCCCTGCCCATTGATGAATGCTAATATATTCACCTGATTGTGCAGGTGGAATTAAAGATATAAATTGGAGCCCTTAACAAAGAATAATCTAAAGTAATGATGGAGAGAGACAGAGGGCTATAAGAGGAGTAGAACTAATACTAAGTTCTCAAAATAATAGCTTTACATATAGCATCCAGATACATGCTGCTTCATACTCAGTCCATTTATTAGGGATATAGCTGTTCCCCATTCTCTGGGTTAGTATGTGACCCAGACCTAGCCAACCAGATAATGCCATTACTCTTGCCTTAGTAAGTGGTTCAGGGATAGATACATAACTCAAATCTACAGTTCTCAAAATTTTGCTCTTGGGACCCCTTCATATTCTTAAAAATTATTGAGGACTCCAAAGAGATTTTGTTTATGTGGGTTGTAAACCCAAAAACTCACTGCCATCAAATCAATTCCAATCATAGTGATCCCAATTGGGTCTCCAAGGCTCTAAATCTTTATAGAAGTAGATTGCTTCATCTTCCTCCCATGGAGTAGCTGTTAGGTTTGAACCATCAAACTTCTGATTAGTAACTAAATGAGTTAGCCACTATGCCACCAGAGCTCCTGGGTTATTGTTGTTGTTGTTCGGTGCCATTGAGTTGGCTCCGACTCATACTGATCCCATGCACAATAGAACAAAACACTGCCCGGTCCTCCACCAGCCTCACGATCCTTGCTATACCTGAGCCCATCATTGTAACCACTGTGTCAATCCATCTTGTTCAAGACCTTCCCCTTTTTTGCTGACCCTTCACTTTACCAAGCATGATATACTTCTCCAGGGAATGGTCCCTTCTGACAACATGACCAAAATGGGTAAGACCAAGTCTGGCCATTCTTGCTTCCAAGGAGCATTCTGGCTGCACTTCTTCCAGGATAGATCTGTTAGTTCTTCTGGCAGTCCATGGTACTTTTAGTATTCTTCACCAACACCACAACTCAAAAGCATCAATTCTTCTTTGGTCTTCCTTATTCATTATCCAGCATTCACATGCATCTGAGGTGATTAAAAACACCATAGCTTGGGTTAGGCACACCTCAGTCTTCAAAGAGACATCTTTGCTCTTCAGCACTTTAAACAGGCCTTTTGTAGCAGATTTGCCCAGGGCAATACGTCGTCTCATTTCTTGACTGCTACTTCCATTGGTGTTGATTGTGGAGCCAAGTAATATGAAATCATTGACAACTTCAATCTTTTTTCTATTTATCATGATGCTGCTTATTGGTCCAGTTGTGAAGAATTTTGTTTTCTTTGTATTGAGATATAATCTATACTGCAGACTGTACTCTAATCTTCATCAGTAAGAGCTTCAAGTCATCTTCACTTCCAGCAAGCAAGGTTGCGTTATCTGCATATTACAGGTTTTTAATGAGTCTTCCTCCAATCTTGATACCACGTTCTTCTTCATATAGTCCAGCTTCTCAGATTATTTGCTCTGCACAGAGTGCCAAGAAGATACACTTTTCACAACAATGATGAGGAACAAATTTGTGAAAGGAGCCATAACATCCTTGAAGACTGCTGTGATGGCTATTTTATGTTAAGATAGATTTGACAATGGGAACTGCCCTAAATGAATTAAGACACCTTACTACAATGGGGCTGATTGAACCCCATGGTGGTGGGTGTAGTTACCATAATGGACAGCAGAGTCAAATTAATAATCAGAATAGTCTTATTCCTATGGATTTATGGCATTAACTACTTAGTAATGGTGTCCCTAGGTGCAAAATGGAAGCTCTGGTGTAGTAGTGCTTAAGGCATTTGACTGCTAACCAGAAGGCTGGTGGTTCAAACCCATCAGCCACTCCTCTGAAGAAAGACTGGGCAATCTACATGTGCAGAGATACCACCTCAGAAACTCAAGGAGGAGTCCCTATGAGTTGAATCAACTCCATGGCAGTGAGTTTTTTTTTTTTTTTTTTTTAGGAATGAAATAGATGGAAAATCTACTAAATATTTAATCAGAACAAGTGAAAGAATTCTAGGTCAAGTGAGTGGTAGTCTAACTTGAATCACCAGAAGAGTCAGAGCCCATCAATCAATTCTCAGACTTGAGTCAGTTTACAGATCCATGACCCCTTGATTGAAGGGGAGGCCAGATCTCCTTGAGGAAGGACCCCACTACATTGCCAAAAATTTATTCTGTTAGTCTTTCTCTCAGCCTTTCCCAAATGGATCTATTGCCTCTTACAAGAGTGACTGTTCATTGGGGAAAAGAAAATAATCAGACATTGTGGGGATTGCTGCACATTGGCTCTGAACTGACACTGATTCCAAGAAACTAAAAATGTCACTGTGGCCCACCAGAGTAGAATTGTATGTATGGAGGTCAAGTTATTAAAGGACTCTTAGCTCAGGGCCATCTTACAGTGGATACAGTGGGTCCCTGAACCATCAATGTATTATATTAGGCTGTGTTCTCTAGAGAAGCAAACCCAGTAAGGCTTATATATGTAAATTTATCTTAGGAAAATGGCTCACAGCTATAGAGGCCAGCAAGTCCTAAGTTCCTAGATCAAACATCAAGCTGGAGTCTTTTCCTGACTCACACAGCTGCAAGGGCTGACAAGCTCAAGGTTGGCAGGCAGGATAATGGCTGTTGACTTCAGCAGATGACGAATCCAAGATCACCAGGCAGAATGATGGATTGTTCACTCACAGACAGTTGTAGGCAGCACAACAGGATCCCAATCCACAGAAGGTTCTCTAATTTTCCCAGGATGTCCATATATTTATATATTGGAAGCAGGCCACACCCCTAGGGAAACTCCCTTTCAATGGATTGGCTGCTCAAAGCATATACATCAGATCTCATCATGGGAATAACCACATCACAACTGCTTAAACCACTCAGAACTGTGGTCCAGCCAAGTTGACACACAACCCCAAACATCACAATCCTGTAGATTTTCCCAGTTTGAGAATACATAATTGTGACAGACATACTCAGCAACTGGAAGAACCCCTACACTAGATCCCTGACATGCAGAATAAGGGCTATTATGATAGAAAAAGCCAACTGAAAGCCATTAGAACTGCCTCCACCTAGGAAAATAGTATACCAAAAGTGGTAACACATCACTGGAAGGACTGTAGAGATTACTGCCACCATCAATGACTTGAAGGATGCAGGAGTGGCGATTCCCATCACATTCTTATTCAACTTGCCTATATGGCCTGTGCAAAAAGCACAGCGATCTTTGAGAATGACAGTTGATTATTGTAAACTTAACCAGGTGGTAACTCTAATTACAGCCGCTTTTCCAGATGTGGTTTAATTGCTCAAGCAAATTAATGCATTCCTGGTATCTGATATGCAGCTCTTGATCTTGCCAATACTTTCTCTCGATTCTGGTTTCAAAGGATCACCAGAAGCAGTGATTGCCTCTGCTGGCAAGGCCAGAATACACCTTCACTGTCCTACCTCAGAGGTATATCAACTTTCCAATCCTATGTTGTAATTTAGTCCGCAGGACATTTATCCCTTTTCCCTTCCACAGACTGGCCCATTACATTGACAACATTATGTGACTCGACCTGGTAAGGAAGAAGTATCAATGATTCTCGACTTATTGGTAAGACACGTGCATATTAGGAGGTAGGAAATTAATCCTACAAACATTCAGGTGACTTCCAGCTCAGTGAAATTTCTAGAGGTTGAGTAATGTGGGGCATGTCAAGATATTCCTTCTCAAATGAAGTATAAGTTGTTATATCTGGCCTCTTCTACACTTAAAAAGGAGACACAATGCCTAATGGGCCTCTTTGAAATTTAGAGGTAACATATCCCTCATTTGGGTATACTACTGTGGCCTATTTATCAAACATCTCCAAATGCTGCTAGTTTTGAGTGGGCCCCAGAACAAGAAAAGGATCTGCAATATGTTCAGGCTACTGTGCAAGCTGCTCTGCCACTTGGGCCATATGATCCAGCGGATTCAATGGTTCTTGAAGTGTCGGTGGCAGAGATGCTGTTTGGAGTCTTTGTCAAACCCCCCACTGGTGAATCACAGCCAAGACACTCAGGATTGTGCTTAGACCAAGAGGCAGTTATTCGAATAGAACAAGAGGATACTGTGTGGTTTAAAATCAGGACAGATGTGTGTCATGGTTGTATCCTTTCACTACACTTATTCAATCTATATGCTGAGTAAATAATCTGAGAAACTGAACTACATGAAGCAGAATGCAGCATCAGGGTTGCAGGAAGATTAGTGTAATTAACAACCTGTGATATGTATATGATGTTGATTGCTGAAAGTGAAGGGAACTTGAGCACTTGATGAAGATAAAAGATTATAACCTTCAATATGGATTATAGCTCCACATAAAGAAAACAAAAACCCTTATAACTGGACCAATAAGCAACATCATGATAAATGATGAAAAGATTGAGCTTGTCAAGGATTTAATTTTACTTGGATCCACAATCAACTTCCATGGAAGCAGCAGTTAAGAAATCAAAACAATGTATTGCTTTGGGCAAATATGCCATAATAGACCTCTTTAAAGATGTCACTTTGTGGATTAAGGTGCTCCTGGCCCAAGCCTTGGTATTTGGAATTGCCTCATACGCATGCAAAAGCTGGACAGTTTATAAGGAAGACTGAAGAAGAACTGATGCAAGAATTATGATGTTTCAGAGAGATGCAAATCAAAACAATGAGATACCATCTCACTATAGCACTAATGGCAAAGTTCAACAAGATAGAAAATGGCAGATGCTGGCAAGGATGTGGAGAGACTGGGACTCTCATAAACTGCTGGTGGGACAGTAAAATGATACAACCACTGTGGAAAACAGTATGGCAATTCCTTAAAAAGCTGGAATTAGAAATACCATTTGACTCAGCAATCCCATTACTAGGTATATATACTAAAGAAGTGAAAGCTGGGACAAGAACAGATATAAGCACACCCATGTTCATTGCAGCAGTATTTATAACAGCAAAAAGATGGAAACAACCTATGGGCACATCAACAGAAGAATGGATAACCAAACTGTGGTACATACATACAATGGAATACTATGTAACCCTAAAGAATAATGTAGAATCTGCAAAACACTGCATAACATGGATGAACTTGGAGGACATTATGCTGAGTGAAATAAGTCAATCACAGATGGACAAATATAGTATTAGTTCATTATTGTAAAAAGTCAAGTGAAAGTTTATATATGGAAGGGAACTTTCTTTGTTGGTTACCAGGTAGGAGGGGAGGGGTTGGGAACATTGCAGAAAAATAAAAATAAAAATAAAAATGCATTGACCCATGTCACTTTAGTTTTGTGTATTTCACTGTACACACATTCTATTTCAATAAAATGCATTTAAAAAAATTAAAAATTAAAAAAAAATTATGGTGTTGGCAAAGAATATTGAATATACCATAGATTTCTAGAAAAGCAGGCAAATCTGTCTTGTAGTAAGTATAGCTAGAACGCTCTTTCGAAGCAAGGATGGTGAGGCTTCATTTTATGTACTTTAGACATATTATCAAGAAGCAGTAGTCCCTGGAGAAGGAAATGATGCTTGGTAAAGTAGAGGGTCAGCAAAAAAAAAAAAAAAAAAAGGAAGACCTTCAATGAGATGGGTTGACACAGTGGCTGCAACAATGAGCTCAAAGATAGCAATGACTGAGAGGATGGCACAAGACTGGGCAGTGTTTTATTCTGTTGTACATAGGGTCGCTATGAGTCAGAACCTACTTGACAGCATTTAACAGCAATAGCATGAAAACATTCTTGACCTTTCATACCTACAGAAGGAGCCTTAGGGATCTCTTGGTGCCCCTAGACAGACTCAAGAACTACTAATTTATAGTTTAGAGAGGCCAATAGCATCTTTGTCATTCCGTATGAAGAACTAATGTGAGAATGAGGCGAACAAAGAAGAAAACAGCTGAAAGCATCTTGATAACATGGCTTCAGATCATGGTCCAGCCAATCCCAAAGCTCATACATACGGCTTGACTTCCTAGCTGATAAGCCAACAAATTCCTTTTTTTTTTGTTGTTTTTTAAATTTTCATTGTGATTTAGGTGAAAGTTTACAGAGCAAATTCATTTTCCATACAGCAGTTCACACATTTTGTCTCATGACATTGACTGCAATTCCCCACAATGCAACAGCTTTCTTCCCATTTTCTCCCTATAGTTACCTTTTCCTTGTGTCCTTCCCTCCTATGCACTCCCACCCCCCACCCCTCGAGCTGTCTCCCTGTGCAAATGCTGCCCTTCTGTTCTCCCATGATTGATCGCTCCAAGGAATGTATCTATCTGATGTAAATGTTCAGCCCATGTGCCTATAATTTGGCTGGAAGCCAGAGGAGTGAGTTCAGTGCCAGACCTAAAGGGTAGCTAGAGGCCATAGTCTCAGTGGTCTCACCAGGCTCTATCAGACCAGCAAACTTGGTCTTTTTTTTTTTTTTTTTTTTTTATGATTTTGAGTTTTGTTCCACATTTTTCTCCCACTCTATCTAAGATCTCCTACATAGATCCCCCTCCAAGTGGTTGACAGTGGTAGCTGAGCACCATCTAGTTCTTCTGGTCTCATAGTTGTATAGGCTGAGGATAGCATGGTGTACCAGTCACTTGGACTAATTGTTTCCATGTGTTTTTGTTTTTTTCATTCTTCTTTGTTCTAGATGAGGAGAGACCCACCATAGTTGCACCTAGATGGCCTCTTGCAAGCTTTTAAGATCCCAGTTGCTACTCACCAAAGTAGGATGTAGAACAATGTTTTTTTTTGTGTAGTATGCTACATCAGTTGCGCTTGATGTCCCCTGCAAGAAATTCCTTTTCACTTAAAGTAGGATCCATCACTTACAACTAAGACATCCTAATATATTTGGATTACCAGTTGGTGATTTCAGAGAGAGAGAGAGAGAGAATAGAGTAAGACTAGGAAAAATACACAGGATCAGGGCACGAAATAATTAATTAAGCAACAATTTGGATAGTTGATACATAAAATCAAAAGCCCAAGGAAAGCTTTAAAATTATTTTAATAAACATGGCAGACATTGGAAGACATTGTCCTAATTGTTCCTGAAAAAGTAACATGAAACTCCATAGGCAGTTGATGTGGCTCAGGGCAGTGCAGTAAATTACTTAATATGGGCCTTCTAGCTATAGTCATTGTAACTCTCACCAAATGATTGAGTGGTACTATGCAAATGAGGTGTTTGTGGCCCACTAAGGGGATTGGGTAGTTTGCTAATAATGTAAATGAGGTACTTGGCACCCTTGTGGGGGTCGGACCATGCAAATAAGGTATATGGAACCTTAATGAGGGGACTGGTCACTTTTGCCATCCTGCTAGACTTAGAGCCAATCCCAGAGTATGAGGTGTGTGACCTGACTACCACTAAGACAATGACGAGATGGGAGTGGACCACATTCTTTGAACCTGGGGTTCTTGTGCTTGGGCATCTCAGGAGATCCCAGGAGACAGCTGTTACACCGGAGATGGCTAGAGACAGCGAGAAGCAGTGACAGAGAGATCGTGGTAGCAGGGGTAGCATGGTGGATTCCTGGTCCACAGCAGAAAAAAGCTGAGTGCCTTCAAGCAGGAAGCTTGTTGTGGAATGGGGTGCCTCCAGATACTTGTTGATGGAGCTAGGCTTGCGGACCCATGGAGTGGAGTGAAAGTGCTAGAAAGCTGAATGCCTGCAGGAAGGAGGCTTCCTGGTGGAGTGGGGTGCCTCTTGGCTGGCCCAAGAGGGCCTAGGGCCTAAAAAGCTGAGAGCCAGAGAGCCAACAGGCTGAGGGCCAGGGAGAAGCCTGCCTGTGGGCATGGCTGGGAAAGAGGCCATCCTGTCTGAAGAACTGCATTTTGAGTCTTTCCTGATCCTAAACTGTAACCTGTTATTTCCCTAAGACACCATATAATCGTGAGTATTGCCTGGTGTTCTGTGAGGCCATTGTAATTGAACTCAGCTGAGAAGTAGATAGTGCTGTGGGAGGCATAGCTGGTGTCAGAATTGGTGAAAAAAGGTTGAAGGGAGGAGGTATGTCTGACCTGTGCCTCACAGGAATCAGCCTTTGGCTGTTGATCTTGATTTTCCTTCCCCTTTGTGAAGTTGGAGGAGGTCAGATGTCTCTGCCTTGCAATTCTTACACTCAGTTTACCTTTTATGTTCACTGAAGAATAACAAGGGCATCATAATTGAAAGCAAAATGTTAATTTCATAAGTAAAAATGAATAAATTTATCTTACCAAACTGGAAAATTCTAATTTAGAAAACTATTTCTGGGGGCAAAGGTTTAGGCTACCTATGTCAAATATTTTAAAATTTCCCATTTCCCAATATTCTCTATCAAACAAACAAACAAAAAAATTGCCACCAAATCAATTCTGACTTATAGCAACCCTATGTTTGTCAGAGTAGCACTGCACTCCATAGGGTTTTGGAAGTAAAGAGCCAGGTTTTTCTGGCCTGAGTGAACTCTAGCCTCCAACATTTCAGTTAAGAGTTGAGTGCCTTAACCATTTGCTATCCACGGACTCCTTCGTTAACCTGTAGATCAGTATTTTTCTGAATGCCTAATTTCTAAATTTTAGCTAGTAAAGAAACCTTTGAACTTCTTTTCTGATAGGCTGAATTTCTAATTTATGTTTTCATGGAAATACAGAATGATGTAATCTATTCAGTCTAAAGTTCATCATACCTAATTCATACCTAATTCAGTCAGTCTAAAGTTCATCATAATTATAATCTAGTTTCCTTTGGGAGAAACATAGGTTAAAATCAACCAGTTTCATCTTGTACTTTTTTTTTTTTTTTTTTTAATAAAGAAAATTAAAGAACCAAACCAAACAGCTGTTGAGTTGATTCTGACTCATAGCAACCCTCCATGGATTTCCTAGGCAGTAAATCTTTACAGAAGTAGACTGCCTCATCTTCCTTTTGTGGAGCAGCTGGTGGGTTTGAACCCCCAACCACCTGGTTAGCAGACACTGCATCACCAGAGCTCCTTATGTAGAGAAAAGTAGCATT